AAATCGCAAAATAATTATAGGGTGGCTAATGCCAAAGAAAGGATGACTGAAGCCACCCTTAAATAGGTCTAACAACGCTTATGTCTCTCTGGGTACTCCGGCTTCCTCCCACAGTACAAAAACATGACTGTTAGGTTAATTGGCTTCTTTAAATTCTCCTTAGGTGTGAGTGTGTGAGGGAATGGTTGTTTACCCTGTTTGTCTCTGTGATGCCCTATGTTGGTCTGGTGACCTGTCCAGGGTGTACCCCGCCTCTCACCCGTAGACAGCTGGAGATAGGCACTCTCACGTCCCCGCTTAAGATAAGCGTGACAAAAAATGGATTGATGGATGGAATAGAGCTATCTATAATTAGTGTTTTCTATATCTTAGTTCATTTATTTTTATATTTATTTTGTATTATGTCTTTGGTATAGTGGTCATAACAGGGGACCAGTTCTTAAGGGGCCCAGTTGGCCCCTCTCTAGAACCACCCTCAATGTCATTAATGTTAATATTCAACAAAAATGAAGCCCAAAGGGAAAAGCCATCTAGAAATGGCCACGATCGAACAGTCTGCAGAACCATCAGCAGCAGCAATAATTTGATTCACTTTGTAATCCTTTGTTATACAGAGAGGTTCATAAGTCATTTCAATGAAAGGCCTCAAACCACCAACTCCCCACCACCATGCTTAACTGTTGCAGATTTTGATATGCTGTGTTCATCTCTAAACATCTCTTTTTTCCCCATCAGTGTAAAGATTATTGCTCTGGAAATCCTTTGTTCATCGAAGCACAATTTTACTTACCTACATCGTGCTGCCATCTTGTTTTTAGGGAAACAAGGCTTTCTAATTGATCCTTTTCAAACAGCCAGACTGGTCTGGTGTTTTTCAGTTTATCCATTTGTGACCTTTAACCTTAAAGGTCCATAGTTATTTGCCCATACTAAAAAATACCAAAAGCTAGTTGATCAAATAAGGCTATAAGCGTCCGTCCTGATGGTCTTCTGATCATCTTTTTTGAGCATCAATAGAACCTCAGCACTGGGTGCCATGAGCCTACATAAACAGACGTGTCACCATCTAGTGGCAGCACTGTTGAACTGCCAGAAAGCCAGATGCTCGGCATTGATGCTGCTACTATAAAGTCCTGACTGTGCTGTAATTACACATAGAAAACCTGTTCCAGAGGTTAATATAACTTCCTATCACCTTAAACCCCCTCCATATATCTTCTCCTGGTTCATCTGTCACATTTACCCCCATCTAGTTGTGCACTTAGTGAATTACAAACAACAGACTTGGGACCTGCTGCGGAAGCCATTGAGGGACATTCTCCTCTTTCTGATAGGAGGGGACATTCTCACACTGTAAAAAAGAGAAAAGTAGAAAGAACTCAAAATATTAAGGCAACCAACTTCAGAAAATGTTTAGGTTTACAACCTTAATCTAAACATTTAAGTTTTACTCTTAAAGTTGGCAAACTTTGCATTAAGATGAGATATGACTTTATTGAACTCACTACAGAGAAAATGAACTCTGTGAAAACAGCTTTAATAAACAACAGGAGGTGAAAGAGAAGGAAAAGTTGCATCAAAGAAGTACAAAGTCAGGCTAATATACAGAAAATAGGTTAAAAACAAAGAATAGAGATTTAATTTACCTTATATACAGATCTTGCTGATAAGATACACAATTATTTATTATGACGTGAAGTACAGATTTTTTCCAATTTCTGTGGACGTCGTGGTGACTTAAAAAAGGTAATAAAAAAAATAAAAATACAAGTCTTAAACTTTTTACTTTGGAATCATAGTTGTTTTCCAGAGGGGGGAGTGGTGGCCTAGTTGTGAGGGCATAGAGCTTGGAATCCTGAGGTTCTGAGTTTGAAACCCACTTCCACAGCCTGCCACTCAGGCCCACAGCCCACCCCTTTACCGGTGCACAGAGAACCTCGCCTCTTCAGCCAGGCCAACAATTCCCTTCAACAACAGAGACTGAGATCGGTATGGGGTATTACAGACTAACAAAAAAAAAGAAACCAATCGACCCCCCTTCCTAAGGGGCGGACTCACTCGTCAGGTTCAAGTTGCACGTTTTCTAAGCCAAAACACAGCTTTGTTTTGATCCACTTTAAAAAGCCAGGAACTAAATGCTATTTCTGACATTTTTAAGTTAAAAATTTTCCTGGATGGGAAGTGAAACGTCTTCAAACTTGGAAACAAAGTCCAATGAGAAAGCTTTCTTTAATGATGATATTATTAGTATATCAATTTATTAAAGCAATGTTTGATTTTGGCTAAAAAGCCAGATTTGTTACAAACGTTCCCTTTAATATAAAGCAGCAGTTTGGAAAACATTATTTTCCGCTTTGCATTAGATTAGATGTTCTTCCCCCAATGACTGTGGATGTTTCTGTTCTCTTTCAGGGTGCGGTGACGTGGCCGAGGCCTTCAGGATGCAGGAAATCGACGGGCAGGCTCTGCTGCTGCTAACTGAGGACCACCTGATGACCAGCATGAACATTAAGCTGGGCCCTGCCCTTAAGATCTGCGCTCACATCAACGCTCTGAAAAACCAGTGAAAAGAGACAGAGCCAAACCTGGAGAAGGGAGAACTTCAGAGGGCAATAAAGAGGAGAGAAAATCTTTGGTTACAACAGGTCTGAAGCTGACACCAAGGATGACAGAAAAAAGTCACAAAAAGAGGAAAATGTCAGTAATTTATAATTTATGACGTTCTAATAAAGGCGTGGCCTTATGGGAGCAGAACGAGCAGAAACTCATCTGTCTGCAGCTGAGTGTAGCAGGAAACCCCGGAGAGCTTTTGTACCTTTCTGTATATTTTACATGCCACTGGAGAGTGTACATTTCAAGCTATTTCATGAAGGATTTTCAACATTTAATATATGAAATTTGTCTATTTAGTTTTTTTAGAGTGTGACGTCGATGACAAATCTATACCCGTAGCTAACATAACCAGTGTGTGGGAGTGTGGCTGTGTGAATGTTAAAGGAGGAAGAAAAGGAAGATCGAGATCTGTAGATTTTGTGTGATTCATTAAAGTTTCATGTTTTCTATCAACATATTCTGGACAAAATACGTCTATCGGTTGAAAAGAGAGAACAGTGGCTATCAGGGTAGAGAGCGGTGTCTTCAGTCGTCACATTTTTATGATATCCTGCTTGAAATTATTTAATAAATGAAGAATTAATCAAACAGAATGATTGTTTTGTTGTTTGGAGGCGTCTCTGCAGTAAGGCAGGCGTTTTTTCAGTGTTTTACATTAGAGACGATTCTGTTGCTTCACTCAGATCCATCAAAACCTCCGATTAGATGAAATAAAAAGAAAAGGTATAAATGATTCACTAATTTTGAAAAAGAAACATTTTTGATTTAAAAAAGTTATTATATTGTCATTTTATATTTAAAAGGTAAAGGTTAGATGAAATAAAAGCACATACATATTTTTTGTTAGTTTTTTGTGCTTTTTTACATTTATATTAAATATTCATAATTGTACACTTTAATTACATCTGTGATTTTTATTATTCATTTATTTGATACCATCACCTTATAGTATTTTCATTTTAATATTTTTTTGAAATACTTTTTACTATCCATCCATCCATTTTCTGTCAAGTGCCGTGTTGTGAGGGGTGCTGGTGCCAGCTGTCTACGGGCGAGAGGCGGGGTACACCATGGACAGGTTGCCAGTCCATCGCAGGGCAACCTTACTAACTGCACTAAAAACAATATAAAAAAAATTAAATCGACAAACACCAACATAGTTTTGAGTAATAAACACCAGATAGAAAAGATGAGACTTTAAAAGAGATTTTTTAATGGTCAAATTTTACTAATAAAGTTTCAAAAGTTATATTAATATCTTGTTTTCCAGGCTGGACTAAGCATTAAACACATGCCAATGATTTTTGAAGAAACAGACAGAATCAAATGCTTTAATTTTTAATGTGGATTGTTAAGTATTTTTACTCAGATTTCCAAGCTCCGTCACCCTCAGATACCATGCATCTAGTTCAGGAAAACACCAGAAGCCACCAAGTCTGCAGTGTTTCTGTCCAGAGTGAAGCCAGGTTAACATCCTCATGGACCGAGGGGCTGCAGACCTTCAAATAATCCCCTGCTCCCGATCTGAAACTCTCTATTTTTTCTTTATTTATCCATGTTCTGTAAAGATTTCAGACTGTTCTATATTTAGTATGTTTTTGTTTTACTCTTTCCAATTTAAAAAGCGTATACAACACAGTGGCGGCTGGGTAATAGAGGGCACCAGGGTGCTGCCCCACCCACCCAATGACCTTGATCAAGACATAAAAAAGTATATATTTTAATATTAAATTAACATTTAAAATATATCGAACTATAGTAATACCGTATGTATTTTTTAGATGTGCAAGATACTATTTAATCTTTAATGACTAGTAAAGGGTCATTCCATTTTTATTTAGATTGGTGGCGTATTTCTGGCCTAGGACGCAAAAATCGTTGCCCATTGACTCTCTTTTAAAGTTATACAGACGCAGTAGCTCCTCTGCAATACAGAGGGATAGAAGAGCTCGGGCACTCCCCTGCGCCCCCCTGACAGGAAGTGTATTTGCTCACCACCTCCCGCCACAGCACAGAATTTTGCTTTTTTCTGCTTTCCCTGCCTCCTTTTTCAATCATCAGGATCCGAGCCAGCATGGATAAAGGCAAGTAGGACTGATTTAAAGCACTTTGTAGAAAAGGCAAAGAAGAATGAACAATCTGGGATTCACATGGAAAACAATATAATATAGTGAACCTTTCCTAGATGTTTGTTAATTTGCATAGTTGCACTTAAATAAAAACATTCTCAGACAGTTTTTATATATTAAAAAATGTAAAACTGATTAATAGCTGCTCCATTATTAAACTGGTAATTTTTTTTTTAGGTTTGTGACAATATTGGACTATTCAAAACACAGATTTACCTTCACAAAGCCTCAGAAGGGCAAGATTTATGAACCAAAAGTAAACCCGTACATGAAATTATGTTTTGTTTTTACAAAGTTTTTGTTTTTTTGTTGTTGGCATATAAATATACTGGTGTTATAACTTAGTATACACTTAAATGGTTTTTGGTAAACGTCTTTTTTGAATTTATATCTTCCCCTGGAGAAAATTCCACCAGCCACCACTGATACAAAAAAAAAACCCAACCATATTTTATGGGTGCTATGATTCAATTTAAAGGTGCTTCAGCACCCCTAAAAAAGGTCCATACGCCTATGTTGTTGGGTGAGATCCACAAGGCGGAGCAGATGGAAGCTTTGTAAAGCACGGTGGTAGCTGTATCATGCTCAGGCGACTGATTTACATAAAATCCATTCAGTTTTAACTTTCACTTTGGTCTTGCAGGAAGATAAATTTCCCAAACATCCAACTAAACCTTGATGGAACTGATAAATCTGCTTGACATGGATCCTCTGCAACGACCCTGACTCACATCCTGGTGAAAATCTGAAAACTATAAACTAAAGACTAGTTTGATTCAACTCACTTAAAAACATGGTCAAATGTCGAGTGTTTGCTGATTGTTATGAACAGCACGTGTTAGGGTTCTTCTTGCTGATGGATTTTAACCTAAATGCTAGTCTTGTTTGCTGCTCTTGATTCTTTAATGAATGCAGAATGACCACTGCACCCAACAAAACGATCAGACCAGATTCATTTTTTTAAAAGGTTATGGTGGAAGTCATATCCATGAGGTGAAATGTGCTGCATATCAACCAAACTGATTTAGATTCATGTCTCAGAGTTCCTTCCTGAAGATTTCTGCCTCCTGATACCTTGATCAGTCTGCATGAGCTTCCCCCTTCTTCTCTCCATCTGGTTCCTGTTAGGCTGTGGATTTTCTCTCATTGGCTTGGAGCAGGGGGCAGGTTTGCGCCACACCCTGAAGTAAATCTTATTCTATCCATTTTTCCCCTTGTGGATAAAGCGCTATAACGGAACCCTGGAAAACAGCTGCTGAAAGCATCTTTTTTTCCACTTAGAAGAATATTACCTTTTAGTTTTTCTTTTTCTAAATTAAGAAAATAGTTCCGCTGAAATAATTATTTAAGCATCTTAAGACAGTGTTTTCTGGCAAACAGAAAAAGATATAGTTCAGGAAAGAAAGTGGAAAAACTCGCCGCTTGTTCATATTCTGTGGAACGCGTAAAGACGCACAGCGGAGCTCCATGGCGCACATTTGCAGGCAGCTGATTGGCATCGGGGGGAGCTGCGCAGGCTGGGTCGGGCTCATCTTCGCCACCGCGACCAATGACTGGGTCCGCACGTGCGACTACTCTGTGGCCACCTGCCTGCGCATGGACGAGCTGGGCTCCCGCGGCCTGTGGGCTGAGTGCGTGGTCTCCCCGTCTCTCTACCAGTGCGTGTCTCTGGACCAGATGTTCTCCCTGTCAGGTGAGCTGCTTACTGAAGCTGCTGCCTCAGACAAAAAAAAAAAAAAAAAAAGTTATGTTTTTATC